AGGTGCATAACATTGGATGACGTTCATTGTAATGTCCTCTTTCTTTGTTTTGAAGGATGCTTTAATGATCCTGGGTCCATGAGATTCCCATCCTATTAGTGCCTTTTGTGCATGTTTGGACAGCATCAGTGCAACTCCTTGTGTATGTGAAGCGTTTTCCTCTTCATGACCAGAGTATAACAGCAGTTCCCCTGAAGCTAGTCTCAGTTGTCCTACCTGTGTCCAATGCGTTTCACTGATGCCGAGCACCTCGAGGTTGTATCTTTTCATTTCTGCCGCAACTTGAAATAGTCTTTAAGTCTCCCACAATGTACGAACGTTCCATGTACCTAAAAAAATGGTTGCTCTGGTTGTCAGAAGAGGCATCAGCCCCGTGACTTCCGAGGGAACTCGGCTTTCATCACGCGACGTCATAATTCTTCCTCCAACTCCCAGGGCAGAGTTAAAATGGTTTGAATTATTTTTTCTGGTTAGCGTTTTTTTGGCAAGTTAGTTTTTGACGGAATGGGGTCGCCAACCCCATGTCCAACCCTCCTCCTTTACCCGGGCTTGGGACCGGCAGTAGCCCCGAAGGTTCTACTGGCGGAGTTCAGGATTTACTACCTTACAAATAACTGGTCAGTGTTCCAGAAAATCCTGATCTCGAAATGTGTGATTTCGAAAATGTGAATAAATATATTATTATTATTTGTTAACAAATAATCCAGGTTTGGGTAATTTTCCTCCTTAGTCCATCCAGTGAGACTGCAGACATGCTCAGTAAGCCCATAACTTTTAATGACTGCGCCAAGTCGTTTTAGAACCAACCAGTGGAAGTTATACCCTGAGTGATGAAAATAATGGATGGGCTGTTGAAATATCCAGTCAAGAATATTTGATCAGAACCAAAGAATGGCAGTTGCTGTTTTGCCTCAGCTAGTTTATCTCTCTGTGACGTAGCACCTGAATGAGGCCGATAAATCTCTCCAATCTAGTATTTCGTGCCATTAGTGTGGAAACAACACCAACATGATTGTATCATCTCAGTTAGTTGGTTGTCATGTAGCTGTCATGTGGCTGTATATATATCTAATCACTCCGCGTCCTGTTTGGTGAACCCTGTTGCTTCGAAACAGTGTCATGCCTCGCAAGCTCACTTCGTTGTTTGCAATGTCAGGGGGTAGTTATGTTTCAGCAAGGATAACAATCTTCAGATCTGTATGGGAGCAAATATTCCTTATTTCTAACAGCTTACCCCTTGGTCCTCTTACATCGCTATAGAGGCACTTGATGGTTTGCCTTATCACCCGATGCACCTCTACAGCAACTGCCGTTGTAAAGTCTTGAAACAAGTCGTTCCAACCGATTTGGCCAGTTCTGTGGGAACTAGCACCTTCAGGTTTTTTCCCAAGCAGTGCGTTCAGTTGGCGAGACTATTATATATTAGTGTCTTGTGCCGAGGGTTGTTGATCGAGGTCCAATCATTTCCATGAGTTCATTTTGGCTTCCCTTCCGTTGTCACGTTACGACCGGTACTGTTCAACGTAGCCGACTTTCGGTGACAACTCGGGCTTCATTGGTCACTTCCTGTTTATCAGCCCTTCCGCACTACAACTGAACATTGTCCAACCAGCTCTCCTCACGAAAGACTTACGAATCGAATGTGTATACCCTTTTAAGGGGAGCCTCTGTAATGGAACACTTCTACGAAGAAAACGCGTTTAGTGTAAAATAAATGTTTATGATTGTACTCGTTTTGTTTGATTGTACTAAAAACACTAACTTGCGCGCAACAGTTTTCTTCGCGTAGCTGCCATCTTTCATAAATTGCTGCTCGATGTATCACCTACATTCTCCTTCAAATATATTCTCAACCCCGTGTTTATTTCTAAAACTGGTGACGTGATAGTAATAAGCATTACGTGGTGATCATTTTCAATCTTGACTCCGTCTCCACCAAACTCTCATCGATTGAATACACCGTGTAAACAGCGGCATGTTTCAACAGGACTCGGCCTAAACTACCTGTTTGAAAATCCAATAACGGCTGTTACCGTAGAGGTGCACCAAGTGGTGATACAAACCACCAAGAGCTTATGTAGCAGCGCAAGAGGTCAAGGTATTAAGCTGCTGGAGATCAGCGTTTTTGCTCCCATATAATATAATATATAATAACCATAATCGACATAACGGAGGGTGATATGATCTCGCAGGGTGCGACACTTTCAAAGCGGCCAGGCCAGAAAGATTTATTACCTGAGATGATTTAAATATTCCTTATTCTTAACACATGAAGCAGTAAGATTTATGATAAGCATAAGAATATTCAACCGTTAAACACATAATCTGACAAAAAGAATGCAATTTGGGGACACTCTACTCGCATCAAAGTCTAGAGTGGCATGTGATAACTTAGAAATTGTGGACACATTCTTCGTATGCGTAAAACGGAACTCATGTCCTCAGTAGTTGGATAGGAATGAGGTGGTATTTTATTCACAAACGATGGTTCATTAAAAAGCATTTCAGCAAGACCTACGGAAGTACATAGCAATATCAGGTGACTGTCGGTTTAACGTATGAATTTTATAAATTTTTCTCAGATTGATGGTTACCAGAAGCAAAACCTCAGTATTAATATAATTCTCTATGGTTTGAAGCAAAGCGTTCAATACTTCTGTGGACTGTATAGTATCAAGTTGGATATGGGCTAGAAGATTGAGTAATAGAACAGAAGTGCTAACGTGGAGAAAAGTTTCAAACCAATGTTTTACCTATTTTTTAAATTGAATAAATTCTATTTAGTCGCGAAGAAATTTATTCTAACTGAATTCTGCCTAATTGACACCGGTGAAATTTCAACACGTTGATGTTTGTTTAGTTGAACTTTTAGTTGTGAAGTTCTAACAGCGCATACTACGTAAATCTTATAATGAGGTTGGCAAACGTTTAGTACTTTTTACTCATTGTTTGGTCTGGCGAGCGTCTACTCTTTATTCTTTTTTACATACCATTTATCGATTATTCCTAATGGTCCATTTTCAAGTTGATAAATCTATGACTATGGAAAAGTCTACTTTTCCGTGAGACATGCCAATATATAAAACATGCCTGCAATTTTGGAGTTCATCTGAACAGTTAGATATGAGATTTGTTGATCAACATCGTTCATGCCAACCTTTGTCTATGTATGTTAGCTGCTGTTCAAACAACAATTTCCATTTTAATAGGTATTATTAGGATTATGCTTTAATTGACTTGGAATTTTTGTAGGGAAGGTTATGAATTAAAATCATTCATCTTATGTATTATTGTGATAAGACAGTCAACCATTGCTATTGTAAGGATTATCAAATAAAGTGCATTTTACCTGACATTTGATAAGTAGTCACTCTGATGCCTGTGGAGCTGTATATGCCGGAATGATTCCATTGTTAAACGGAAATAAATGATACAAGTCCGAATCTGGTTACACCATTAAATACCAAAGCTAGTGTTTGGCGGGTTTTATTTAGATCACAAAACTTAAAACTAAACTGTCCTAAAACCAACTTGTTAAATACTGAGGTTAGTGTCAAACATATTTGTCAGTTTTTAAAAAGCAATTCATCTAGCATATGACCATTCAATAGTGTACTTTTGTGGTAAATGTGAAAACACAATAACCCAATTAAGGTATAAATTAGTATGATAGCACTTTTTGAAGCAGAGTATTTGTTCCGTTCGTTTTTTTACGTAAACAAAATAGAGAAAAATACAATCATCAGATCAACCGTAACCTAAAATTACCATTTATTTCTGTATGAAAACAGTATCTAGGGTTTATTTAAGTTCATAATTGAAATGAAGCAAAACTATAAAGTATCTGAAGAATCTAACTTCCAAAGATTTTCAATGATATTTTGAATGATGAAAACATACGAAACAAGTGCGTAGTATGAAAAATTAAAGAGTGTTTTATTTAAAAGTCTTCCGAAATATAGCTTTGATAAACGCAGTTAGTTTGTATACGAAACATGATACATAAATATGTGACCGTTGTTTTTGGAAACTGCATATATATGTGATGAACCACTGTGGTTTTCTGTTGATGAAACACATCGTTAAAATATATCATTCAAATTAAATAACTTGGTTCAATCTACAGAGATTCAGTCTTCATACCCTATTACGATGCTCAGTTCAAATAGCTGATGTTGAAATATTTTTTCTGGTTAATCAAGCCTAAAGGTTTAGATAATTATTTTTCAAGTGATGTAATCACTCAATTGTATATATGTATGTGTCTTCATTCATACTTTGCAGTAAAAGATTCAGATAATCCCTTAGTTGATCGAAGTTGATCGTAAGCCTATATACCAGATAGTGTATATAGACTATTTTAATGCAGTGGAGGTGGTTAGGGCTTTATTGCCTCTTTGACGTAGAATATCATGAATCACGTGCAGGAAGATATTGTTATATTTTCTTGAATTATATTAGCGCCCGTATGACTAGACGGTTATTATAAAAGCAGTAAAGTTTTTCATATCGATTATTGATTTATTCACTCTACGCCTGTAGGATCGATAATCTTTTTTTACATATAACCCAATGACCAATCAACAACGACTATGACTTTACTACCTGTCTGTACTCGACCTGTTTTCAACCCATTATACAATCAAAGGACAAAATTAACTAGCAGGTAAAACATAAGTTGGGTAGCTATCGTCTTATAACTTCAACTCATACAACTATAGAGTGAATTCCTGGAATGCTTACATTAGTATATCATCAGTGAAGGTGAAACTATGTATTCAAACGACAATAACTTAAGTAATCTAGAGCACACAACACTAGTTTACAGTGGTTCTTCATAAAAAAATAGCTTCGCAAAGTTACAGATTGTTCGATATTCATGTCTTTGTAAACAAATAGTTTGTTCAATCATGTAACAACTTGAATCTTGAATAACTACTTTCTTCGTATTGAAAATAAATCATAGTTATTTTCGTCTTTTTTTCTGTCTATATTAGGTAGTTCAACAAATATTCTACATACTTCTCAAGGATACTACTATTTTATAAAGATCATACACATATCTTGATATTCCTGTATTCTAGTTTTGTACATTATAAAATATGGGAAATCATACAGTGAATGAAGTTAATAACTATTTTGAACATGGTAGCGATGTTGAAGATGATATCAATACTGTAGCATCATCTATAAATACTCATCTTACCGAAACTAATCAATGCGCTTTAATATCTTCTACATCGGATACATTATCAGTTCCTCCTTTACCTCCACATAATCTGGGACATGATAAATCATTATCTTCTTCATCAATATCAACACCTAATCTAGATAATATCAATGTTAAACGATTAACTGATTCTGTAATGCTTCGATGTGATCATAAAGAATCTTCTCAGGTAATCACTTCAGCTATTGATGCTCAAGTGAAATCGATCAATGAAATGTTATCGTATTTTACCAAATTAGTTAAAGCTGAAAAAACTGTTCAACAAGCTTTATCGGATTTATTGAGTGATCAAATGGAATCTGCAAGTGTGGTTGACGATAATGATCAACGTTCAAATGCTGGTACTATGCGTAATTTATTTAAATCAAATTATTCTCGTGGACGTCGTCGTGGACGTCGTATAACAATGAATATTTTAAATAAAAATTTATCAAATTCACCTACTGACAATGAATTGAATAAAGTGAGTTTAATTGATAACTCTACGTTTACCAATGCTATTGTTGTGCTGTTACGGGTATGAAGGTGAATGTCACTTCTCGGCTGTCCACACCGTGGAAGAGTGTGAGGGTGAGGAAGTTAGGTAAGCGTTGGTTTTCGAAACCTGGGAGCGTGACCGCAGAGTTAAATTGACAACTTCTTAAAGGCGGTCACACACGACCGCTTTATGGGATGTTTGTAAGTGTTAGCTCCGCTATTCAAATGGCCTTACCGCTGGAGATAGAAATCCATGAGGTATGCTGAGGTTTGAAATCGTTAGGGTTGACCTTTTCTAATCCCTTTCTTTTCTCTGTGAGAAGGCATCATTACTGCAGATGTTTGCTGTCCGAGGGAAATACCTTAATGCTGTCACACCTCTCTAAAGTGAGCAGTACGACTTCGCTCACAGACCTTAAGTTCTTGCTTTTAGTGTTATCGTTCTGAATCGACCTGCCTGGCATAGTAGAACCTACAGGATCATATGTTCCAACCAATATAGCTCGGTTGGGTCATCACAGTAGACAAGCCCGACCATCAAATGTCAAAGTAGCAGTTATGGTCGGAACAAAATTCAACTTTTTTACATATTAGACTTTGCATCACGGAGTTGTGAAGATTGTTAAGTTACACAATTTTGAAACCATGAATGCTCACTAGTAACTAGCTTCGTTAGGAATCTTATCCGAGTTCTAGTTGAGAAGAAGTGACCAGTGAAGTTCAACCTGTTCGGATGTAGACAGTAACTACCAAAGACTGTATATGAGGTTGCGCGATTCCATGAATTGATCAAGTTCGACATTAACACCGTTAGATACCGGCTGAGTGGTCCGATGTTCAGGCGTTCACGCACAATACCGAAGGTCCTGGGTTGGAATCCTACGAGGTGCAGGAGTCGTGGATGCGCACTGCTGATGAGTCCCATACCAGGACGAAACGGCCGTCATTCAGTGCTTCTTCCAGGTTTCTAATGTTGGTCTAACATTGATCAATTCATGGTTTGAAAAATCTGTAAATTAGACTTTATTAGTAAATCAAATTTATTACATCAGCATAATAATGGTTGAATTTTTGTAAAGATTCTGGTATAAAATGACATTTTTGAACAGATAATTCTTTGATTTTAAAGTCCCCTGAATCTATTAGTTTGTGGTTCATTCAATAGAATACAATATTTTGATGTAACTTATTAGCCAAATAAATCATAAAAACTCATCTAATTCGACGCACAATCAATCAACATCCGTTTTGTACTGTTGTAGGTTCTTAATCACAACTAAATAATATGATTGCTCCATTTGTAAGAAGAAGTTTTTTACTTTACTTACTTACGCCTGTTACCCCCGATGGAGCATAGGCTGCCGATCAGTATTCTTCAAGCTACACTGTCTTGGGGCTCCGATTGCAGTTCCGTTCAATTGTTATTCATTCTCCTCATGTCTGTCTTCATTTCTAGGCGTACTATGTTGTTTGGTCTTCCTCTTTTCCTTTGACCTTGAAGGTTCTAAGTGAGGGCTTTTCTTGTGACGCATTTGGATGCTTTCATCAGTGTATATCCCATTCACATACAGCGCTTCTTCCTGATTTCTTCCTCCGTTGGAAAATAAAGAAGTTAATAGTTGTTGAATTTCATAAGAATTTTGTTTTAAATGTAAATTAGTTTGACAGTAAAAGAAAATTAGACTGAGCGCGACAATATGAATTAACAATACGTAAAGTGGCTCTCAACTCCGCCAGTAGAACCTTCGGGGCTACTACCGGTCCCAAGCTCGGATAAAGGAGGAGGGTTGGACATGGGGTTGGCGACCCCATTCCGTCGAAATCTAACTTGCCGAAAAAACGCTAACCAGAAAAAATAATTTTAACCATTTTAACTGTGCCCTAGGAGTTGAAAGAAGAATTATGACGTCACGTGATGAAAGCCGAGTTCCCTCGGAAGTCACGGGACCGATGCCTCTTCTGACAACCAGAGCAACCATTCTTTTAGGTACATGGAACGTTCGTACACTGTGGGAGACTGGAAGACTATTTCAAGTTGCGGCAGGAATGAAAAGATACAACCTCGAGGTGCTCGGCATCAGTGAAACGCATTAGACACAGGTAGGACAACTGAGACTAGCTTCAGGAGCACCGCTGTTATACTCTGGTCATGAAGAGGAAAACGAGAAAGGTGAATTCGATGCAGATGTGGGGGCGCGCATTGGCAAAGCACTGGCTGCGTTTCTACAATTGAAAAATATCTGGAACTACAAACAACTTTCAACGAACACTAAAATCACAATTTTCAATACGAATGTCAAGACAGTTCTACTGTATGGAGCGGAAACATGGAGAACTACGAAAGCCATCATCCAGAAGATACAAGTGTTTATTAAAAGTTGTCTTCGCAAAATACTTCGGATTCGTTGGCCAGACAACATTAGAAACAACGAACTGTGGTTGAGAACAAACCAGATTCCAGTGGAGGAGGAAATGAGGAAGAAGCGGTGAAGGTGGATAGGACACACTCTACGCAGAGCACCTAACTGCGTCACGAGACAAGCCCTCACTTGAAACGCTCAAGGCAAAAGGAAAAGAGGAAGGCCAAGGAACACATTACGCAGAGAACTAGAGAAAGATATGAGAGGACTGAACAAACAAACATTGGCCAGGACTGGAAAGGGAAGCCCAGGATTGACAGAGTTGGTTGGCGAAGACTGATGGGTGGCTTATGCTCCATTGGGGTTACAGGCGTAAGTAAGTAAGTAAGGAAAGTAGCCCTCACTAGTATTTATTACATATCTTATGAAATTTTAGACATACCAGAAGACATCATCTAGTCTGTGACTGAGAAGATGTACAATTCAAGTTAGACGAAAATTTTAATCGGTAAATTTAAGTTGATTGACCATTACTGATCAGTCTAATCAATGTTTATCTGGTTAGTCCTTGTTGATCGAGCTCGATCGGTTAGTATTTACAATGCAGCAACTAGTCTAAAATGACTAAATATCACATGGACTATGTCTTAATTGTCTGAAAGTTTCTACCAATCACAAAGAAATCTTATATGTCTTTGATTGAGATCACCGATTCCCTAAAGATTACAAACACTCCTTGTTGTGTCAACTAATAGGAAGGAAGGATTTGATTTCGACCAATGTGGTCTCGTGTGCTGTTACGGGTATGAGGGCGGATGTCACTTCCCGGCTGCCCACAACGTGGAAGGTTGTTTCTGGAGGGACCTGAAAAGGAAGATAGATTAGTGTTGTTCTTGGAGACCTGGGTGCGTGATCGCAGAGTCCAAGGGACTACTACTTGAGGCCGGTTACGCACGGCCTTTTGATTAAGGGTTTTTAGAGTATTAGTTCAGCTCGTGAAAGCCCTTAGTGGGCACCCTTACCCAAAGAGACGGAAATCCGTGAGGTAGGGTGAGGTGTGACATTTTTAGGGTCGACCTTTTCTAACCCTTCCTTCCTTGTGAGAAGGCAGCATCGCTGCAGATGCTGGTTGTCCGAGGGAAACACCGTACTGCTATCACACCCCTCCACAGTCAGTCAGCAGTACGACTTCGCCCTGAGACCTTGAGTAGCTGCTTTTACTCTCATCGTTCTCCAGTCGACCTGTCTGGCATGGTAGAACATTTAGGAACATATGTTCCAGTCAATATAGCTCTTTTGGGTCATGACGATAGACAATCCCGACCACCACATGTCAAGGTAGCAGCTACGGTCGGGAATGTATAGGAAATCTCGGTACAGTGTTTCCTGTAGACTTCTTCCAACTACATAACACTTGAAAAGTCTTTTTAAGATGCACAGCGTTAAGTCGGAAGATAAAATTAAAATGTTTAGCTTGAAATTTATTATCTTTTCGGGAAATATTTATAAAGAGCATTATTATGAATATCGATTGTAATCATGTCTTTATGAGTTTTATTAATTAGGAGATGATTTTACTGGAGTGTATGTAACATGCTTCTTCCTGTTAAATATTCCTTTTTTTTATCAGCTTTTACAAAATCTTGTCATTTCAACAAATCATCAAGTACGTATGTATTCAACACGTGCATTATTTCATAAATTAATCACTGCTGGACAATTGGATAGTTTAAATAATTGTGAACAATGTTTAAAACGAACTTATTTAGAATGTGAAGATGAATTGAAATCACAAGCACGTCAAGTAAGTATATTCTAATGTTGTTGTTATTGTTATTGTTGATTGATTGATTACACATTTTTTGAAACAATGAATCGATTAATGTTAGACCACCATTAGAAACTTGGAATCACTATATGACGGCCGTTTCGTCCTGGTATGGGACTCCTCAGCAGTGCACATCCACGACTCCTGCTCCTCGCAGGATTCGAACCCAGGTCCTTCGGTATTGTAGGCGAACGCCTAATCATCGGACCACTGGACAGGTATCTAACGGTGGTTTCAAAAATGTGTAACTTAACAATCTTCACAACCCCGTAATGCAAATTACCTGTGCTCACTAGTGACTAGCTTCATGAGGCATCTTCTCCGAGTTCTAGTGGGAAGATGTGACCAGTGAAGTTCAACTTGTTCGGGTGTAGAGAGTAACTATCGAAGACTGTGTATGAGATTGCGCAACTCTGTGAATTGATCAAGTTAGACATTAACACCGGCTGAGTGGTCCGATGGTTAGGCGTTCGCGCACAATGCCGAAGGTCATGGCTTGGAATCCTGCGAGGTGCAGGAGTCGTGGATGCGCACTGCTGATGAGTCCCATACCAGGACGAAACAGCCGTCCAGTGCTTCTTCCAGGTTTCTAATGGTGGTCTAACATTGATCGATTCATGATTTCAAAAATGTGTAACTTAACAATCTTCCCAAGCCCGTATTGCAGATTGATTGATTGTATTCTATCCATGTTTTTGTGTGGATATTCAATCACCCGCCTGTTTGCCTATTATTTTAAACAATTCATTTTGTAGCGTTATTCTTTGAACCCTAATCTCTTCGATTATTACTACTAATTCTATCAGTATGGGATTTAAATTGACAATTGCGTCTCTGTGCTAATATGGTATTACTTACTTACGCCTGTTACCCTCAATGGAGCATAGGCCGCCCACCAGTTTTCTCCAACCAAATCTATCTGTCCTGGGCTTCCCTCTCCAGTTCTGTCCAATGTTTGTTCATTCCTCTCATATCTTTCTATATTTCTCGGTGTAATGTATTCCTTGGCTTCCCTCTTTTCCTTTTGCCTTGAGGGTTCCATGTGAGGGTTTGTGTTGTGTCGCAGTTCGGTGCTTTTCGTAGTGTGTGTCCTAGCCACTTCCACCGCTTCTTCTTGATTTCCTCCTCCACTGGAATCTGGTTTGTTCTCTCCCACAGTTCGTTGTTGCTGATGGTGTCTGGCCAACGAATCTGAAGTATTCTGTGTAGACAACTGTTCATAAACACTTGTATCTTCTGGATGATGGCTTTCGTAGTTCTCCATGTTTCCGCTCCATACAGTAGAACTGTCTTGACATTTGTATTGAAAATCCTTATTTTGGTTTTGGTTGAATGTTGTTTGGAGTTCCAGATATTTTTCAACTGTAGAAATGCAGCCCTTGCTTTAACAATCCGCACCCTCAAATCTGCATCGGATACACCTTAATTGTCGATGATGCTGCCCAGATATGTAAAGGTGTTAACGCCTTCCAAGGCATCTTCATCAATAGTGATTTGGTTGGTGTATGTTGTGTTGCATCGGAGAATTTAGCTTTTTCCTTTATGTATGTTGAGACCTACTGCTGCAGAGGCTACTGCTACACTGGTCGTCCTCTCTTGCATTTGTTGTTGAGTGTGCGATAGAAGAGCCAGGTCATCTGCGAAGTCCAGATCGTCCAGCTGCGTCCTAACTGTCCAGTTGATACCGTGCTTCCCTCCAGATATCGACATCTTCATAATCCAGTTGATCACCAGAAGCTAATATTGTATGGCTTACCTGAACTGATGTAGGTACGTATAAAGTTTTACGTTTTAAGTAACTGACTGACTGACTAACTGTAGTGTCATTTATTTGTTTTGGAATTATATTTCTTGCATTTATATTTCGCTAGTGTCATCAACTTTAATGACTTTGACTTATTCGCCTTTGATTTTGGGAATTTTCTCACTGGTTATGGTGAATATGGAATAGGTCAGCTGAGATTAATACGTGTTTGTGACCGGTTATTAGGGAGTAGATATTTCAAAGTTTCAAGCATTCCAGTTTAATCAATGAAGTCACGAATTTGAACTTCTCTCTCTATAAACTGAAGTTTGAGCAATCAGTTCCTATGATTAACCTTCATCTTAATAATAATGTGTCTATAACAACTGGTAACCGAGTTAGGTCGCGTACTTTTTTTGTGATTGACTGACTGAAATGACTAAAAAAAGGTTCTCAGTTGAATTAAAACAAGGAGGTCTATGTATACACTTTCTTTCAGAGTCAATCATAACGTAGGATCCAGCAAAATATTAATTCGTTTACATTACCAATGATAAGTTTTGAGATGGATTCTATTCTTGAATTGTAATTAATAGAGTTCATATTTATGTCTAGGGAATAGTACTTAGCTCAGTAATGAAGTTAGATTATATTGTAACTTCTATGTAGCAAGTCGATCAAAGTTTTAACTCAATTGTTTAAATATTGTGTAACCTTGAAATAATGAATAAATCATTGTCAGATTATCATTAGAAACCTGAGAGCACTGGAAAGGCGTTTCGTCTTGATATGGGACCCATCAGTCTCAGTGCTCATCTACGACTCGTGCCGCACGAAGTATTAGGACCCAGGACCTTCGTTCTCGCGCACGAACGCGTAACCTATGGATCACTGATCCGGTAGCATTCAGTGGTGTTAAACATTGTGTACTCGTTTGGAAACACAACCTCTAGCTGTTGTCACAGGTATGAACTATTGAGCAGCAGTTTTGACAGAGAGACAGACAGATACTACACGGAACTTTGTACGTAAGTATATCAGTTCAGGTTGCCATACCACATCAGCATAAAGACCCGACTGTCAGTTCAAATCCAAGAGTGATAGTGATAGTAGAAGTATTAGCAGTAATGGAGAAGATTAGGGAGCGAAGATATTATTCAAGAAGTATAATTCAGTCAGTCAGATAAATTTAGAAGGAGAAAAGTAGAGATTATGAGGAATGAAGAAGCTTAGAATTTGAGAGAACACAAAGAGTGGATGCACCTGCACCATTGCAAACGATTTTTGGTTCAAGGTCTCTAATCATTGGTGACTTTCGTCTCGCGAACCCCAACCAGATAGCCTACATCTACCGACATGACTCAGTCCACTTGTCAGTGACTTCATGGATTTCTGCCATGTTTTTGTCTGGCCTTCCCTAACTTTCTTCCATTCTACTCCTACATCACCAAACATAGCTCGTCGAGGCAGTGCAGCAGTGTTGAGTTGAAATGCAACAGACACTCAGTAGCTTTTATCTTTCAATGAATTTTAAACTTACGTTATGAACTGACAGTGTAAAATGTTTTTAAAACTATACTAATTTCGATTTCGATAAATTTCTCAATCAAATTTTGAAGAATACACATTAGAAAAGTATCAATGAGAAACTGTGAAATTTCAAAATTGGTGAGCCCGTATCCGAGCTGAGCTCGATTGGCTTTTGCCAACCTGCGTCACTTATGGCGTGGGCGTGATAGCCGTTCGCTAACCAAAGGACGGGTAAACTGCTCAGCAGTTCGCTCTCTCCTACTACACGGATGCAAAACATGGCCGTTAAGAGTAGAGGACATTCGTAGGTTACTAGTCTTCGATCATAGGTGTATCCGAAGCACTACTCGTGTATCGTGGGACGACCGAGTAAGCAATGCTATCGTTAGGAAACGAGTTCTAGGTAAGGATGGCAAATCAATAGATGAAGCAGTGAAACTTTATCAGTTGAGGTGGTTGGGACATGGGTTAGAGACGTTGAACGAAATAGCTCAGAATTGTTTGCGATGGTGCAGGTGCATCCACTCTTTGTGTTCTCTCAAATTCTAACCTTCTGAATTCCTTATCATCTCTTTCTCCTTCTAAATTTATCTCACTGAATTATACTTCTTGAATAATATCTTCGCTCCCTAATCTTCTCCATTAAGACTAATAATTCTACTATTGCTATCACTGTTGGATTTGAACTGAAAGTTGCGTCTGTGTGCTGATGTGGTATGGCAACCTGAACTGATGTACACGTACGTACGAAGTTCTGCGTTGTATCTGTCTGGAATTTAAAAAATATTACACAATATGGAAGTTGAAGATGATTTCGAAGAAAAGAGAACACAGTACAACGAGATTTATATCGTTACATTAAATCATGTTTCATCCCAAATTCTCATCCACTCTATCGTGGTTATTGTGTTGCACTTCAGCTATACATTGTGTGTGTAACAATTTAATGAAGTTCGTTCAAGATTTCACACCTTCATTTTGTTCAATATCAAAACCGTTTGCAATGTTACAAATGAATCCATCCTCTGTTCTTGCTCAAATGCCTAATCTTCTTCAAAATACCTCATCACCTTCATCTTCCTCTTCTTCTCAAATTTATTTCCCCCTATTTTTCTACTCTTTCAATAACAATTTCAAACTTTAATCTTTCCGATTACTGGTTATACTTCTACTATCTCCTCTATCCGTATAAGATTTCAATTGCCAATTGCATCTTTGTGCTATCATGGTTTGGCAACTGGAACTGATGTACGTGCGTACGTACGTATGTATGAAGTTCTACATTGTGTGATGGACTGAATGACTGAGTTAAGTTAATATGACCAAACATATTTCTGTCATATTTCTAGATACATATTTGCAAAATAGTTAGGAACTTAGTATACTATTCTAACGATCAATACAAATACTGTTCTTAAGTCTAGTGAACATTACCTATTAAAGTTACGATTGATCAGGGAAAAAAAAATTACGCCCATATTAAATGAAAATGGGAATAATAATTGTATATGTGTTTTTTTAAAAAAAAATAAAAGTCATTTAGGTCATGGAAAAAAATGAATTGGTTTGACGACAAATAACAAAGAATCACTTAACGAATGATTTGAAACTTAAATAAGATTTTGTCAGTTAGAGTTATGAAGATTTATGTTTTTACACATTTGAAATCACCAGTCAGTCAGTCAGTCAGTCTATTTGGTCTCGTGTGCTGTTACGCGGGTATGAGGGTGGTTATCACTTCCCGGCTGCCCACACCGTTGAAGGTTTTTACTTGAGGGACCTGAAAAGGAAGATAGATTAGTGTTGGTGTTGGAGACCTGGGAGCGTGATCTCAGAGCCCAAGGGACAACTGCTTGAGGCCGGTCACGCACGGCCTTTTTATGAGAAGTTTTTTGAGTGTTAGCTCCGCTCTTGAAAGCCCTTAGTGGACACCCTTACCGCCGGAGATGGAAATCCGTGAGGTAGGGTGAAGTGTGACATTTTTAGGGTCGACCTTTTCTAACCCTTCCTTCGTTGTGAGGTGCAGGCAGCATCGCTGCAGATGCTGGTTGTCCGAGGGAAACACCTTACTGCTGTCACACCCCTCTGCAGTCAGTCAGCAGTACGACTTAACCCTCAGATCCTGAGTATCTGCTTTTAGTCTGATCGTTCTCCAATCGACCTGCCTGACATGGTAGAACCTTCAGGGACATATGTTCCAGTCAATATAGCTCGGTTGGGTCATCACGATAGGTAAGCCCGAAGACCACGTCAAGGTAACAGCTTCGGTCGGGCATTGAAATCATCAGTCCATCATTGTTAGACTACGATTAGAAACTTGGAAGTATTGGGTGGCCGTTCCGTCCTGTAGTACGTTACTCCTTAGCAATGCGCGTTCACGTCTCCTGCACCTACTTAGGATTCGATCTCAGGGCCTGCGGTCTTGCGCTCGAATGCCTAACCTCTGGACCACTGGGCTGGCAACCGATGGTGTTAATGTCTAGCTCTGATAAATTTGAGGATTTTGCGCAACCTCACCCATTGTCTTTCAATAGGTGGCACATTTCACGATATTTTTAATGAGAGTTATGGAAATTAATGTTTTTACACATTGAAATCCAGTGCTTCCAGATTTTCTGATGGTGGATGGTCTAACAATGATTAATTGATGATTTCAAATGTGTCAAATAAGATTGTTCACAAGTGAATAATTCATTGTAATCCAGAATTCGACTGAGTTAACTTTCATCACATGTCTCATCCTGTCAAAATAAATGTACACTTCAACAGGAGAATATTTTTCTATGTTTCGGTATTTTACTAAAATTTTGATAAACAGTCAATTGAGTTTTAAAGTATACATTAACTTTGAGATGGTGGAGAAAACTTGTAGCTCGGGTGGATGATTGTGGTGGTTTTTCGTGGAGCTGGTGGGTGTGAAGCGGCCCGGGGACGCTTCGCGGAGGTTAGGCGAAGGCGGTATACGACAGCCTGGACGGTGCCGCCGGGAAGACGGCGTGGGAGACGGTCACCGGGCGGCTGATGACGGAGTTCGACAGCCCAGTGGACAGGGAGGAGGCGCCGCAGAGGTTCCGGTTGGCGAGGCTGTCGGCTGATGGTGACCCGTTGGTGCTGACTGTGGAGCTCACGATGTCGCTGCGCCGTGCGCTGCCGAGTATGGATGGGGAGTCGGGGGCACAGTTTTTGGCGTCGCAATTTATCGAAGTGTTCCTACCGCCGTGTCCCAGCAGCGGTAACTAGTAAACGCTACACGTTGGAAAGATGCCGTACCCAATCCAGACCAGCGGGCAAGAACAATGACCGAAGTGGTAATCCGGCATATTGTGGCGCGTTACGGAATGAGGAAGGTGATATTAACTGACCAGGGTCCCTGTTTTGAAAGTGACGAGTTTAAGGCCCGTCTAAAGCAGTTTGGCATCAAGAGGATACGAACTACACCGTATCATCCGCAGATAAAACGGGCTTACGGAGAGAAGACAAGAAGAAGGGCGTAAATACTAGTCAACTGCAGAGATGGTTTCAAGATTATCAATTGTATGAGTCACGAAAAGCACCAAAGATGACAACGGTACGGCAATCAGAAAGACTACGACGACAGCTTATTAAAAGGGGCGACGAGTGTGGTGCGAGCTACTTATAAGTAGTATATGATGTGAGTGTCAACGTAATGTCTGGCAGCAGAAGATGAAGGAAGATCAAGAAAGGAAGAGTTAGAAGAACACAATGGAATTTGTATGAAACGCATGAATAGTGACAATGGATTGATGTTTTGCAACAGGAACAGTCCGGTTCGAAATGATGAACTGATATTTTGCAAAATAACGATTTACGCGATATGGTTTTCCTATTTTACTGAGTAACTCTGTAATTTTCGTTAAATACAACCAGCTCAGAGAACGAAACACCACCACAATACATTAACTTTATTTGAGAACTAACTATATTCATGGATAAGATTTGAAAGGTATCTATCTATCTGTTTGTCGGACGATGTTTTATATTTTTTTAACCGTACCGTAACCATGATACTTCAAAATAGGTGATTGGTAGTTCTCACCTAATAATAAGTGAGTATGAATGAAAATCTTACTTGTGATCAATAAGTTTGTGATGAGATGATCACGTGACAGAAATATGTTTGTTTCATTTTAGTTTCATTTGGCAGTTTCGTTTATTTTTTGCTTTTGTGCATTGTAGAATGTGATGATTATATGAACAATTTTTAAAGTTAAGCAGAGTTTGATAAATCAGTTACGTATACTTACGCATACTTGAATACTGATCTCCATAAGTCTAATTGAAAAATATTGTACAATGTACTCACTAGTAACTACTAGCTTTGTGAGGAAATTCTTGGAGTTCTAGTGTAAAGACGTGACCGGTAGTGTTCAACTCTGTTGAGTGTAGGCAGTAAATACCGAAAAGAAATGGGTGAGGTAGCGTAAAATCCCTGGACTGATCAGAGTCAGACATTAAAATCATTAGATTCCGGGCCATTGGACCAGAAGTTAGGCGTCCGCGCGCAAGTAGCGACAATCGTGGTTGTGCACTGCTGATGAGTCCTCCAATACCGGGACGAAAGGCCCACCATTTAGTACTTTCAGGTTTCTAATGATGGTCTAACAATGATTGATTGATGATTTTAATGTGTTTACTTAATTACTGCTTACATCAACGAGTAGTATTTTGTTTGTGTGTAAAAGTTACATGGATGAAAGCTAATGGTTGTACAAATCAAAGTATAACCTCATTCCATTAAACGTCATTGACTATCGGACATGATTGTTTTAGTAAGTTTAGACTACGAGGGTTGAGTCCACTTAATAACTACGATCAATGGTTGGAGACTTAGTGACTTGAGTTAAAAACCTATCGTGATAGCACAAACTAACTCACTCTGCCTTGACGAGTGATGTTTTGTGGTGTAAGACTAGGCTGGAGAAAAGCCTGGGCCGGTCAAATCAAAACATAGCACAAATCCATGAAGTCACTGACAAGTGGACTAAGTCATGTCAGTAGGTGTCGACTACCTGGTTGGGGTCCACGAGATGATAATTATCGATGGTTAGAGACCTTGAATGAAATGACGTGGTTCAAAACCGTTTTGCTATGGCGCCGGTGCATTTATTCTTTGTGTTTTCTTAAGTTGTAATCTTTTGAATTCCTCATCAGCTTTGTCTTTCTCTTTCTTTAAGATTTTTATTTTACTGGATTATACTTCTTGAATAGTATCTTCGAACCTTAATCTTCTCCAACATTACCGCTAATACTTCTACTATCTCTACGACTAAGGGATTGGAATTATCACTTATATCTCTGTGCTAATGTGTAGCACGGCAATTTGAACTGATGTGTAGGTGGTATTGTGGTGCGAGCTACTTATAAGTAGTATATGATGTGAGTGTCAACGTAATGTCTGGCAGCAGAAGATGGGGGAAGATCAAGAAAGGAAGAGTTAGAACACAATGGAATTTGTATGAAACGCATGAATAGTGACAATGGATTGATGTTTTGCAACAGGAACAGTCCAGTTCGATATGATGAACTGATATTTAGCAAATGAACGATTTACGATATGGTTTTCCTATTTTACTGAGTAACTCTGTACTTTTCGTTAAATACAATTCGATTGCCCCACCTGTGTTCTCGTTCACTACAGTATGTGCAAAGTTCTACATTTTATAATCTTATTGACACCACTGACTTACAAATCAACTTTCTAATCAAACTCATGTACGTTAACTTATTTAGCATTATTAGTACATATATATACATATATTTCCATTTCATTTCATTTTTTTCATTTTAATTTGATTGTTTCATATTTTTTTAATAATTAATTTTATAGTATATGTTAAGTTTGAAAGCATACGAAAAGAAATATTTCAAATATCTTGGTCAATTGTCTAATATACAATCGAAATTAACCAATTTATGTGATAAACGTAAGTTTTTTTTATTCTTTTGTTCACTATCATGTATGAATATATATATGTACATTTATATATCAGGAGCTGAATGACATGGCTCAAAATTGTTCGCAATGGCGCCGGTGCATTTATTCTTTGTGTTCTCTCAAATCCTAATCTTCTGGATTCTTCAACGCCTCTAGTTTTGACTTTCTAAACTTATCTGACGGAATCATACTTCTTGAATAATATCTTCTAATCCTAACCTCTCCGATTACTCCTAATACCTTTACTGTTACGGGTAACAGTAAAGGATTAGTATCTTCTAATCCTAACCTCTCCGATTACTTCTAATTCCCTTACTACCTCTACTACTATTGGATTTGAATTGACAATTATATCTCTGTGCTGATGTGGTATGGCAACATGAACTGATGTACTTATGTACAAAGTTCTACGTTGCATCTGACTGACTGACTGAGTTCTGAGGATCTAACCCCATTATGGCCAACCATCCTGCTTTATCCACCGGGTTTGCGACCGACGACAGTCATCTTAGAAAAGGCATAAATTTTGTAATTTTATCTTGTTTTTCATTCTCACCGTCATTAATTTCCTTCTTTTTTCTCAACATTTTTTTAAATTTTTTGTTCATATGTCTTTAATCATTAACATCAAAATGTACTGCTACTACTACTACTACTACTAGTACTACAGTATAATACACGCACATCATATCTGTATGAGATATTTTCTTCCTATCTCTTTTCCGATTGTTGTTTTTTGAAAGTCTTATTTCTATTGTTTTGGTTTTAAACTTCAACACTTTTAAATTAATGAATGATTTGAAATGATAGATGATAGATATATACTGTGCATTTTTCTCTAGGCGATCAGCGTATAACGTTCATTGTTGATCAATGTTGATGTACACTTATTGTGTGTGTGTGTGTGTGAGTGAGAGTGAGTGAGTGTGTCAGTTTGTACATAGATATATTGTTGACAAATGATAAAATTTGATACGGTTTGTTTGGTTATTTTAAAAACTGTAAAGGAATTTGAGGAAATAAAAATTCATTCAGAAAGCATATTTCAAAATGCTTTAACAGCCAGTTAGTTAGTTCAGTTGATTGATTGATTTATGAAAGAGAGTTATCTCATCAGTATGTATTCATTGTAGCCTCTTTCTTTGAATTTGAAACATGTAACCTTTGCAGTAAGTAAGTTAGTAAGTAATCTTAACAATAAAAGGTATGATTGCCTTGTAATCTTGTCAATTAAAACTGGAGCTTAATATATATAATTAGTAGTACTTTTAGCATTAACCGGAGATGTGATCAATGGAGGTCAACTTTGTCGGGTTTAGTAGGCAAAATGGATGAGATTGCTTGGAATCCTTAGATTGGTTAAAATTAGACATAAAACACCGTTGAATGCCCCTGCTCAGCGGTCCAGAGGTTAAGCGTCCGTGGGTCCGAATCCTGTGAGTGACAGGAGTCGTGGATGCACACTGGTAACGTGTCTGATACTAGGATGAAGAGGGGCTGGCCAGTGCTTTTAGTTTTTTGAATTGGTGATCTAACAATGATTCATTTATGATTTTAGGATAAAACATTATTCGGATTTGCATTACAGGGTTTCAAATAAAACTTATTAACAATCTTCACAACAACCTCGTAATGAAAATTACCTGTGCTCACTAGTGACTAGCTTCGTGAGGAATCTTCTCCGAGTTCTAGTGGCAAGACGTGACCAGTGAAGGTCAACCTGTTCGGGTGTAGACAGTAACTATCGAAAACTGTATATGAGGTTGCGCAACTCCATGAATTGATCAAGTTAGACATTAACACCGTTAGACACCGGCTCTCTTGGGTCCGATGGTTAGGCGTTCGTGCACAATACCAAAGGTCCTGTGTTGGAATCCTGCGAGGTGCAGGAGTCGTGGATGCGCACTGCTGAGGAGTCCCATACGAGGACGAAACGGCCGTCTTTCAGTGCTTCTTCCAGGTTTCTGATGGTGGTCTAACATTGATCGATTTATGGTTTCAAATAAAATTATTCGGATTCACATTTAAACATTATAAAATCTTTGGATCGCAACTAGGGATTTAGGGGATCGTATATTGGGATTTGATGAATGAGTCAGTTTATCAGTTGATCATGTTTTATGAGTCATTTTTTTCGAATTGTGATTGATTAATGAATCGTGCTGTTGTACACATACTGCTGTCGAGAAGACGATAACCTTCTTGATCAAGTTAACTAAGCTTTCAGCATTTCCATGTGATTATCGGAATATTAACCCTGAAATCATCTGATTATATCTAGCTTCACAACGTCACCCCAAAAAACCATCACATTTTGGAGGAATTTTCATTTTCATAACTCAGAGAAAGTTGTTTTGGGAATTAGGTGACCAATTTACTGTTTTCAGTGTTCTATGAAGCTGGTCGTAAGAAAGATTCTATACATCAGAGAAGAAACAGACTATCCTTTTTCGGTAGCGTTCCCTTTCCTTTATCTGACAGATTTTCAAGCATTTTAGGCAAGAAATTTGCTTTCAAGTCACTTGAATGGGTGATGGGTAGAGTTCCTCAATCAATATTTGCTTTACGATACAAGCTGCAACGTTAACGCTCATTAAAGTTCGCACTCCGCTTGCAGAGTTTTCTACCAGTTCACTCTGACATCACCAATTGATTCGTGGCTCTTGGAAACGGTCCAAACTTCTACTACGTTTCTAACCGTAGGCGAGATATCCGTTCGCTAACCAAAGGACGGGTAGACTGCTCAGCAGTTTGTTCCGTTCTTCTATATGGATGCGAAACATGGCCCTTAAGAGTAGAAGATGTTCGTAGGTTACTAGTATTCGATCGTAGACGTCTTAGAAGCATTGCTCGTATATCGTGGGACAACTGAGTAAGCAATGCTGTCGTTAGGAAACGAGTACTAGATAAGTATGGCAGATCAATAGATGAAGTGATGAAACTTCATCAGTTGAGGTGGTTGGGACATGTGTTACGTATGCCTAACCACCGACTACCTCGACGAGCTATGTTTTGTGGTGTAGGAGTAGGTTGGAAGAAAGCTATGGGCGGCCAGACCAAAACATGGCAGAAATCCATGAAGTCACTGACTAGTGGACTGAGTGATGTTGGTAGATATAGTCTGTCTGGTTGAGGTCCGTGAGGCGAAAGTCATCAATGGTTAGAGACCTTGAACGACATGGCTCAAAATCGTTTGCAATGGCGCAAGTGCATCCATTCGTTGCGCTCTCTCAAATCCTAATCTACTGGATTCGTCAACACCTCAACCTTTGTCTGAATTATACATCTTGAATAATATCTTCAAACCCCCTAGTCTTCTTTATTAACATTAATACCTCTACTATCTTTATCACTATGGGATTTGATTTGACATTTGCGTGTCTGTGCTAATGTGGTATGGCAGCCTGAACTGATGTACATACGTACGAAGTTCTACGTTGCAACCGACTGACTAACTGACTGCATCTCTTTCTCCGCAAGAACTAACCTTTTACTGTTCTTGCAGCTTTTCATTTCATTTGTCATTATTCTCATTGTATTCAAAGGTCATCATCTTCTCTTATGACTAATATCTGTAAAACAAAAATAGTTCAATAAAAATATGAGAATTAGACTGCCTCCACTTGGTTTTATATTATCACTTAGACTTAAATTAAATGACCTCATTTGTAAATTGATTGATGTTAGAATTTGAAAGTCATGATATTAGTCATTGCTCAGTAGTCAGCTGATTGAAAAAAAGAGTACAATAGTATAGATTCTATTTCTGAAAGAATGTTTCTAACTACTCCATACTCATATTTATAAATAGTAAAAAGTGACTTTGTTTATTGTGTACTTACTTACTTACTTACAAGCACTAGTTTATTCGTACTTAAATTTGAGTCATAGCTTTCTATATGAGGTGCTAGTCAGTTATGGAGGTATAGGGTGTATTTGATTCTGACTAGTTTTATCTCGTGTACTGTTAAAAGTATGAGGACGGATGTTACTTGCTCCCTGCTTTTGGGATGTTAAATCCCCTGGAACTCGCTTGATAAATATCTTTATTTTCGTTATATTTCATGAATCGATCAGTTGACCTTGAGATCATATTTCCCACCAGGAAAGTGCTTTGCTGTGATTGGTTACTGTGTCATTTTAGTGTGCTATTTTTGTGACTGTCCCAAGGACATCTGTATAGAGTATAAATAAACGCCGTTTGAGTGCTTGAATTGATTGTGTGCTGGCTGGGTGTTTGTAGAATACAATTTCTACACTGCGTCAAGACTTCTTGCTGTTACAATTTGGTCAAGGGATCACAGTAGCCTACGTGGACGCTGATTCATTGTTTTGTTCTCGTTATTCGACTAAGGTGAACTGGTAATAGTTTAAGCATACCTAGAGACGAGCGTAATACCTGCCCACACCATGGTAGTTTATTTCTTGTAGAAGTTGGATTAATGTTGGTCTTATTGACCTGATAGTGTGACTTCGGAACAGAAGGGACAACTGATTGACGCCGGTCACGCATGGCCTTTTGTAGAAAGTTGTCGTGTTAGTTCCACCCTTCAAATGATCTTATCACTGGAAACGGAAATCCATGATATAAGGTGAGGCATGACACTTTTAGAGCCCTTCTTTTCTACCTACTTCCTCCGTTTACGTGAACACCAATTTGCAGTCAAACGCCACGACAACTCTTCTCTTATATCAATACATACCGACAATTATGGACACATATTCGATTGGAACAATGTGGAAATACTGGATAGGGGGAGGACAAAGAACACTAGAGAATTTTTAGAAGCTTGGCACTCAGGTCAATCAGCAGTCAATAAACACATCGACATTGACCCAATTTATCAATCAATCAGAAAAATCATAGGGGACCTAGGATCAAGAAACAATTCAAAAAGAGGATACAATCAAAACAAAGATGCAAACGACGACCGATTTAAGGTCAACAGCAACCAATCAAGATCGAGGTTAGCAGAACAAGCTACAGGT